ACACAAATTTCAAATGATTTTCAACGGTCGCTTTGTCGCGTCCAGTGTAGACAGACTAGCTCACCTATGGAGAAGAAACAAAGTAAAGCAAGCCGGCCCTCGCTTCAGCTGGGACAAATTTTATGTTCAGCTTCTCTGCAAAAAAATAACACATTTATTATTCTGTTCCTAGCAGTGTTATTTTAGTGTTATTAATATACTATTATATTTTTCATTCGTCTTTATTTTGATATTTTCAGTTTTCATTTTAATTTTTGTTCAATTTGTGTCATTTGTTATGTGCTTTGTCATTTTTATTAGTCTTTTTTTTACATTGGTATTTAGGTTTATTTTATTTTATTTCAGTTTTAGTTTTTATTTATTTCCAGTAATATTCACCTTCACCTTATTTCAGTTAGTTGCAACATTTCTTATTATTGTTTAGTTTAAGCTTTTCAAATAATATGATTCTAATATTTATTGTATATTGTATTTTATTCACTTCAAATTAATTTCAATTAATATAAAACATTTCTAATTGTTTTAGTTAACGATAATAAACCTGATTCCTAGAAATAATCGTACAAATTATCCAGGAGATATAATAAACACTTACCTGCAACAAATTCAGTTCCAGCAAGTTCAGCTGTGGCCAGAAAGTCGTCCAGAGAGCTCTGCTCTGTGACAGACTGCAGGTTGAGTCGACCCCAATCATATCCATCATTCAGCTCACTGGTGTGAAGCTAAAAGACATGAAACAATTATTATACATCAGATTTACATCCACTGAATCAAGTTAACACTCCAACGGTTTCCCACTTGCATAAAGAAAAACATTCCATTTCAAGATAATTCGTAGTATGCATGTTTTGGTTTACTGATATTGTGTGTTGATGGTCTGAGCTGGAAATAAATCATTTTAAATTATCCATAAATATTTGTTGCTGCACTTGGTTCTGTTACACATATCGTATGTTTTATTTTATTTTTTGTATAAGTGACAAAATATTAAGTTATATTTTCTGATATTATTTTATAAATGCGCCATATTACATCTGCAATATTCTGGTACATGTGAAAGAAAAAGTAAAACACTTTAGGATTAGACTGTCACAATTTCTTACCCATGTGTCATTTCTCCTGTATCCACGGCCTGCGTTCAGTCTCTCCTTTATTAAAGCTCTCCCCAACCCCGAACCCTCTCCACGAGTCTTCTTCTTTCCCATCTTATATACTTTTACACGGTTAAACAATCGTATAAATGTGTTCGTGAGCTGTTCGTGGACATTAGAGTGGACAGAACTTCACCCATGTGACATGTTTGTTATGGTAGAGGAAGGAAGTCATACGGAATGGTCTATGAGATAAACTTCTTCTTCAGAACCTTAATACGTTTAGATCCCGAATATAATTGATGTTCTTTAAGGTTCGTTAATTTTATTCCAGCGCATATGTTTACAGTTTAAAGGTTGATAGAACTGACTGAGGGGGAAAAAAAGCGAAAAGACAAATCGTCGCTAAACTTTTGGTTTGTCCCAGGTGTCTCACTAAAATATGTCCGCGGAAAAGGTAAGCACTTAAAAAAGTTCCGGATGTAGAACCGTTTGCAAACCGCTTGTAGCCACTGAACAAACTCTGACTGTTCGCTTGCCACCAGCAGAGGACATCACATAACAAGTTTCAGATTCGCCCAAACCCTTCTTCTTCTCCACGCCTCTCTAGCAGCCGAGGGACAATAATTATAATACATTCAGTAATAAAAATATTTAATTATTAATTAATGTGATTAATCGCAATTAATCGTTTGACAGCACTACTATATTTATATATTTAGAGAGAGAATTAATCCATATATTTTTATAAATTATATATTGGTTATTTTAATAAATTTAAAATTGTATACAAATAATGTTATATAATTATTATTATTAATATATTTAAGACTTGTAATATAACCTATAATTAACCTATAATAATAATAATAACAATAATAAATATATTATAGGTTGCATGCTTTAAAATTCATTATTGTAGAACATGCAATAATAATAATAATAATAATAATTAATTATTAAATAGTATTATTGTTACATATAGGCTAATATCAGGTTGTATACGGTTGCATTACTTTTTATATTACAGGCTCTATTACATTTTAACGTTATATAAATTCAACGAAGGTTTTGTGCTTTGTTTCACATTGAAATCAGTAAATATTATATTTGCTGTGAAAAACATTTTATTGGTCCCAAACTTATCAAAATTAAATCATGTCTTTACTCATTGACATGCGCATAAGTCTATACATAAATGAATGACAAATAGGCCGATATGAAACACTTAAAATAAATAAATGAATATCCTTAATAAATAAATAAATGGAAACATGAGCAACAGCTGAGTGCAAAATCCCAGAGAGTTTTAAACCCAGGTTTTGGTATCGTCGTCACTCTGTCGACCCCTCCGTGAAGCTGAGGTGGTTCATTCCGATATATAAGTCGCTGTTTCTCGCTTGTACCGTACAGTGTGTTTTTAGCGATACTCCTCCGCTCACATGTCTATGAAGTGCTCTGCAACTTTGAAAATGTCTTAAAGCAAGCCGATAGATGACTACAGCCTGTTTCGCGGTAAAATTTAGGCGTAATAGAATTACTAGAGTAGATTTAGCAGCTTCACTTTCCTCAACACGACCATTATGTTGCCTTGGAAGAAGAACAAGTTCGAGCTGATCGAGGAAGACAAGCAGCAGTCCAAGCAGAAGGGCTATGCCGTGAGCCTCAACTACTCCGCGCTCACCTCCTTCGCCAAATCTTGCCCAGAAAGCGCGCTCAACAGAGTCGGGAGCATGTTCAAATCCAAGAGGAAAAAGGTGAAGATCACCAACGAGGACCCCACGTACACGGTCTTGTATCTGGGCAATGCCACCACCATCCAGTCCAAGGGGGATGGATGCACGGACGTGGCCGTCAGTAAGATCTGGGGCAAGAGCGAGATGGGCAAGAACGGCACCAAGATGAAGCTGACCATCAGCTCGCAGGGCATCCGCATGGTCCACGTCGACGAAAAGGCAAAGAGACCAGGACACCTGTATTTATTGCACAGGATCACCTACTGTGTCGCAGACCCGCGGCTTCCCAAGATCTTCGCCTGGATCTACCGGCACGAGATGAAGCACAAGGCGGTGATGCTGCGCTGCCACGCCGTGCTGGTGTCCAAGCCGGAGAAGGCGAAGGCCATGGCGCTGCTCCTCTACCAGACCTCCGCGACAGCGCTGGCCGAGTTTAAAAGACTCAAAAGAAGGGACGACGCCAGGCACCAGCAACAGCAGTTGATCGGGGAGCAAACGATTCCCCTGGTGCCCCTGAGGAAGCTGCTTAACGGACAGTGTTACTACAAGCCCCCGGTGGAGCGCAGCAGGAGCGCACCCAAGCTGGGCTCCATCACGGAGGACCTGATCGGGGAGGAGGAGGAGGAGAAAGCCATGCACTTTGAGTGCGAGGATATTCTGGACACCGTCAGCGACTGTGTGGCCAACGGCAAGCAAGAACTGTGCCAGATTATCAATGACTTGGGCTCCATGAGTATAGGGAACGACGTGCAGATGCTAAAAGCCGATCTGAGGGTGACTCGCCTGCTGTCTGGGGAGAGCACAGGCAGCGAGTCTTCCATAGACAGCAACCAAGAGACCGTTTCTCTTGCCAATGGCACTGTGGATAGGAAAATGCAAGAAGTCGGTTGACCTTTCTTGAATATAATAAAGACACGATGCTTCGTGGTAAAGAAGAAAAGCGCTTGGGTGCACGAATGTGCCATTAAATCCACTTGACTTGAAAGCGCAACGTTAGGATTCACGGGGTGTGTTTTAAAACCTAGCGATCTGCCTACCTAGACATCAAATTTGGGCCAAAACTGCTGCTCTCTGTAAAAAAAAAAAAAAAAGTTTATTAAAATTTGATTGCCGCCTGAAGTAAAATCAAAGTGGTGCCAAAGTTATGCACAGGATCACCTACTGTGTCGCAGACCCGCGGCTCCCCAAGATATTCGCCTGGATCTACCGGCACGAGATGAAGCACAAGGCGGTGATGCTGCGCTGCCACGCCGTGCTGGTGTCCAAGCCGGAGAAGGCGAAGGCCATGGCGCTGCTCCTCTACCAGACCTCCGCGACAGCGCTGGCCGAGTTTAAAAGACTCAAAAGAAGGGACGACGCCAGGCACCAGCAACAGCAGTTGATCGGGGAGCAAACGATTCCCCTGGTGCCCCTGAGGAAGCTGCTTAACGGACAGTGTTACTACAAGCCCCCGGTGGAGCGCAGCAGGAGCGCACCCAAGCTGGGCTCCATCACGGAGGACCTGATCGGGGAGGAGGAGGAGGAGAAAGCCATGCACTTTGAGTGCGAGGATATTCTGGACACCGTCAGCGACTGTGTGGCCAACGGCAAGCAAGAACTGTGCCAGATTATCAATGACTTGGGCTCCATGAGTATAGGGAACGACGTGCAGATGCTAAAAGCCGATCTGAGGGTGACTCGCCTGCTGTCTGGGGAGAGCACAGGCAGCGAGTCTTCCATAGACAGCAACCAAGAGACCGTTTCTCTTGCCAATGGCACTGTGGATAGGAAAATGCAAGAAGTCGGTTGACCTTTCTTGAATATAATAAAGACACGATGCTTCGTGGTAAAGAAGAAAAGCGCTTGGGTGCACGAATGTGCCATTAAATCCACTTGACTTGAAAGCGCAACGTTAGGATTCACGGGGTGTGTTTTAAAACCTAGCGATCTGCCTACCTAGACATCAAATTTGGGCCAAAACTGCTGCTCTCTGTAAAAAAAAAAAAAAAAAGTTTATTAAAATTTGATTGCCGCCTGAAGTAAAATCAAAGTGGTGCCAAAGTTACAACCTGCACTGCAAACTTTTGAGTTCAGCTGATTCAGAGTGCCCACAAAATGCTGTCAAGATAGGCAGCTCACTAGGTTTTGAGACACAAGCCATGGAAATGTTTGTGGACTTAACAGACACTTGCACAATAATCCCTCATTAGGGGTCTGGATGGAAGCACCAGAGTTGCTCTGCGCAATAAGACGCTTACAGTCTCTGCTTAACCTCTCTATGGTGTAAGAGGTTTTAGGAATGATCTTGTTTACCTAATAAGTTTCCCTCAAGGAAATGCCTTTTTCTGTTTCTCCTTTTCTTTCTTTTTTTAATTGAGAAAAGCAACAGTCCTGAAATATGTAACTCAGACTTTCTTTCTTTCTTTCGAAAGAAGTGGTGTCTAAACTAACTGAATGAGCTACAAAACTACTTTCCTTTCAGGATGTTCCATTCATATTTTTCCCCCTTTTTTAATTTTGCACTGTGGTGGAATTCAGACAAGTATTATGTTATTATTTATGTGCATAATATTGTTTTGCTATATATGTTCTTGCAGACATAAATGTTTTATCTTTGCTGTGCAAAAGAGACCATTTTCCTGATGTACAGAGATGTATATATTAAATACATAATGTGTAAACAAAATGCATTATTTTTTAAACAATGTGGTTTGTTTCTGTGAACACCAATAAAATTGTAAAATGTACATCGATGTCGAACATTATCTGCTATGTTAGCTAAAGTCAAGTAGAGTTGTTTTTGACTGATGGTCATTTTGACCCAGAGAGGATTTTCTTGTTACTGCATTAGACTAAAACTTACTGACTTTGCTCACACAGGGTATAACAATATTTTAATCATTTTTATACTTTTGGGGGGATTTTGGTCCCACACTAGTGATTGTCAATCTTTTGTCAACTTGTTTTCTTTCACTTAGCACAGGTTTAATTTCTTTTTGGAACTGATTGGGCATAGGCCTCGTTGATCTGCGCTTATGCACCTCACTTTTTTGTGGATCATTTTGGCAGTGTTCGCTCAAAACCTGAGGTGCATAAACTCAGATTAATGAGGCCTACAATCAATCTGTTCCAAAAAGAATTTTTAAACCTGTGCTAATTGAAATAAAACAAATTGACAAGAAGACTGAATCCAAATATTTGGTGATAATATAGCATAATGAAACATTTACAAGCCGGTCAATTTTGACTGGGAACACCAAATTAGATTTTTCAATCCAGCCCAACGGTAACCTGAACTTCCAAACAGGCTTAGCTGTTTAAATTTGCTGTCTCATTTACCTGTGTTGCTCTCAAGTGCGCTTTCAGAAGCATACAGGCACCGTATTACGCTCCCTTCGGAATCTCACAATAGCTGGCACGTTTTCCATTGCCACTTGAGGGGGAGCTGCATATTCCCTGCGGTGAGAGTGTTGATGGGAGTGTTAATAATACTGGCAGAGCTGTCACTTCCTACAGCAGTAGTGGCATAAACAAGCAGCTCTTTATTACTGTACATGTTCTGTGGCCTCCTTTCAGATCTGCAAACAAGTGAAAAATTATGGCGGAGAAGAGAAGCACAAGCAGAATATAAATAAACAATTTCATAATATGCTAAACTCATTATTAGACCAATGAACTGTCACTGAATTTAATGTGGGTAAAATAACTGTTTGTAGTTGAGAAACAAACCTACTTCCTAATTAGACATCATAATATGCTCTAAAATTTTCAGCAGTTAAAGCATCAAAGCAGTTCCAATCCTTTGCTCTCAGTTTCCCACCTCCATGGCATACACCATCAAAAGCTTCCATATGCATATGTAACGGTACAACACATAGTACAACACATAGGGCAGAACAATAAATGGGTACGCTAAAATGAGCCTGTATGTAATATAATTGGCCCATGCAGCAAGGAAACCTATTACCTATCTAATAAAATGCATTTCAGCTTCTATGCTGGTACTTCCTTTATGGAGCTTATTAATTGCAATTCTCAAAATGTACGTTCAATTGCAGATGCATTAACAGATATGCCAGCATACTTCATAAACGATGTAGGTCATGGACGCATTTAAGAAATGAGCTTTATTCAAAAATGAATAAGGATAATTTGGTTCTTCCAGTTATCTAGAGTAGATCTTGTAGTTGTTTTAAATATATTAAGCAAGTTTTGTATGCAAATGTGTGCAAAAAAAGATGCAACTTTTTAATATGTGATCCTTCAATTTAAAACAAAATTCAGTGTAGAAAGTTTCATGTTTAAAATCAAAGTCCCCCATTTTTCATTAATGTAAAATCCATCTTGAAGTGAACTTTGTCTCTGGTGCTCTAATAGAAAAGTGCCTAATTGATTTAATGGCTCATGCGTGAAATTAAATGAAAGAAAGCGCATTATTGGAATGCATCAACTGTGTTGATTAACTAAATAAATAGCGAGAGGCAAATGTTAAAATCTTGATATCTGCCTCCGCAAGGGAATTCTGTTTTTAATGTGCTTTTTTTTTTTGTGGTGTTGCATCACTGTAGTTTTTCTGCTGAGACAGGGTTTGGCATGGCCATTGAAAGCAATATGAACTTAAATAATGCATGCTGTTGTTTAAAGCCATGCAGTCACACAGGTTAGTCTCCTGTTACACCTGTCTAAGAAAAGAACAACTCACCCACAGTCTCCCTCTCCCTCGCTCTCTCTCACACACAAACACACAGGATTCCCTGATGTTTTGCGTCACATTTTGCATTAGTGCATATGCACAAGCCTTAAATATGCATTGCCGTCCCAGTAACCCATCCGTGGCAATTGTTTATTACAGAATCATATTGCTTTATTTTGATCCCATTTATTTATTTATTTAGCAAGCAAACTGTCATAGTTTCATTTAAATCAAAGTCAAATACATCAAAAGGTTCAACTTGTTTGGTAAAACAAAATAATTAAACATTTTAGAAACCATTACAACATGACAGAAACAAGAACAACAACAACAAAAATACAAAACTGTGAAGACCTTTTTTGTTTATAAACACTAGGTTTGTGTCTATACAGAAAATGGCTTTAAAAATACAAAATAACATATGCATAGACAAATACTATCTAATCTATAATCTAAATGTCAAACTTGTTTGTTAAAACAAAATAATTAAACATCTTAGAAACCATTACAACATGACAGAAACAAGAACAACAACAAAAATACTAAACAAAACAAAAAAATGTTGTCTTTTTATTTATAAAGACTAGGTTTGTGTCTATACAGGGATAAGTTTCCCAAAAACAACTATAGTCATAAGTTCCGTCTTTACCATCATTAGTTCAATGGAACTTGCAGCAATAGTTAGACAAAAAAAAGTTCTATCCTTTTTTTATTTATATACAGAACAAAACAAAACAAAACAAAACAAAAAAACATATATATTCAAAGTTAAATTCATCAAAAGGTCCAACTTGTAATATATATAGGAAAAGGCTGCTTTTACACAGAGAAAACAATTAGCATGATTTTGGAAATTTGGTGAGAACCAACAGATTTTCCACCCACAATCACATTTCGAGGAGAGATAGAGATTGTTTTCCATCTGTCAGAGCTTTATGTTCACCACCGAGGGCTCCAAACAATATTGTCATTTCAAAAACAAGGCAAGAGTGCAAACAATTATCGCGATGCTCTTAGTGTGGGTGTCATCAATACATACACAGTCACAGAGTTTGTCTTTCACATCCTGTTCCTGTCATGCCCACCTTTTCATGAGTCAGTGGCATCGTCTCAGAGAGCTCATGAAGTTTTAGCACTATAGGGCCTGCACTAAGAAAGAGGCTCCACTCTTAAATGTCTTCTACACAAATGGTTCCCCCAGAGAGCAATACATTTTAGTACGGCTATTTTAATCCTTTTACTTGCAGACAGGAAATGGAATAATAACAGGAAAACGGGAAGAAACACTGCAATCTGCACACTTAGATTGGGAGATTCCATGGAAATGTGTCTCTCCAAGGGTTCATATTTTATTTCCACTTGGCCAATGTGTGTTTTGTAGGACTCAACACGGCACCTGCTCAGTCACGTGCAATCAAAAAAAGACAAGAATCAACTGTTACTGAAGTTAATAAAAAACAAAATGATGCAAAGCAGCATGTCAGGTCTCTTGAAATGAAATAACACATTAATGTACAGTTCTCTCACTGCAAATAATAAATGGCATAGTTGACTTTTGAGATGTTTTGAATGATATACAATTTATTGTGACAAAGCTTACGCCTACATCAGTTAACTAGCTGTTAATTAAATTAAATTAAATTAAATTAAACAACAAACCAAACAACACAAAAATGTTCAGTCCTTTTTTATTTATTGTTCCTATACAGAAAAGGAATTTAAAAAAATGACAAAATAACATCAAATACATCTAAATGTCCAAGTTGTTTGGTAAAATAAAATAATTAAACATCTTACGAAACCATTACATGACAGAAACAACAACAAAATATAAAAATTATATTTATATTGTATATAAAAATATTATTTATATTTATTAAAAATATATATTCATAATATATTATATATATCATAATAATTATAGTATTTTTTTTTAGAAAGACTAGGTTTGTGCCTATACAGGGGTGTGTTCCTAAAAATTGAATTAAATGAATACATTTTTATATCATATTTTAAAAATAAAATAAATAAAACAAAATAATAAAATAAAACAAATAACACCATAAAAATATCATGTAAATAAATAAATACATACATAAATAAAGATTCAAAACAGTGTGTCGTGCTGACTTCATTAATTAAAAGCAATAATAACAATTAAGTGTCAGAGGACAGAGGCACAAAGCCATGAGCTGTGCAAGTACATAAAAATAGATCATGTCCAGACAGCATCACACCGCCCAGTCACAGTTTATTTTACTACATGTAATATTAGGATTTTATTTTTACTCCTGTATATACTGAGAACAAACAGACACACAAACATCAGTAGATAACTTGCTCAAGACCAAAACAAGATCATTGTGCCAAGCAGGGCCATTTTGAGTACTTGTACAGAGCTTTTCACCATACCGATCATCCCAAAGCAGATTTACAAATAGTGCCTTGCAATCCAACAAAGATTAAATAGCAGAAACACCAATAAAAGCTTGTACCTT